CAATAAATTTTCTTAACAATACAGAAAAATTACCCTCTATGAAAATGTCATTATCGTGAGCATGTACAATGCACTAAAATCGGAGTGAAAAAAAGACGAATCTATAAACACTTCCGGTAGCCGTGAACATTATTCTCCAATTGATAATAATGGTGGGCGCATGAACTGAAGATTTTAAGACGTGGATTACTCATGAACTGATGAAGAGGGGAATATTTTTTTTGTGAGTACTAGACTAAAGTATTTAGAATAATTGTTACTTATGCATGTAAAATATATTGTTATTGGGAGACTTTGCTAGCTAGACCTGTCGGTGAAGGTTAATGAACTGAACAATCGTACCCAAGTCTTTCCCCCAATAGAAAGCAAGATTTTAATTCTTTGTAGCATGGGAACTGAGTAAGCTAATATGTAATGAGATGGGAATCAGTTACCCCAAAACGTTTTGTCAGCCTGCCTGGCATACAGTGTCTCGAATGAGATGTATATTCATGATAAAAAAAAAAGTTATTTGACCCCCCCCCCCCCTTACGCCAAAAAAAAAAAAACAACAACACATTGTAAAACTGCCAAACATAAATATAAACTGAGCAATTTTGGTAAACAGGTTTTTTTTTTAAATTAAACTGTTTATGAAATTGAACTAATTTTTTCATCAATCTCACAATTTTGAGTTAATTAAAGAGGGAATGTTCTAGACAAAAGTTGTCACATTTTATGTATATTTTTAAAAGGATTTAAGGATCCCCTGCGATTTCTTGTAATGTAATTAAATAAAAAAGATAGAGGGTATGTTTGGTGAATCCTAAGCATTACAGCAAAAGATATAACACCAGTAGTGTATTTAGACTGTGTGGATGACAAGGTTAGGCTAGAATGGATATAAAAAATAATTTAAAAAATCATTTGAATGGAACTTTTTTTTGTGTTACGGGATTACGGTTGTTACATCATGGCACACCAATTTATTTGGAAATGAGAAAGTAACAAGTAATATTTGTTGCAATGCTTTAAAACACCCTACTTTATCTTATAATTAAACTGGCACACGAGTTGTACTGATGGGGAATGAGAGAGAGAGAGAGAGAGAGAGAGAGAGAGAGAGAGAGAGAGAGAGAGAGACTGCATCATGCATGTATATGATGATGTCAAAACACATGTATCAACCACGTATTTACCCCGTCTTTATGTATACGGCGAATCTGATTGGCTGCCACTTTTAAAGACTACCAAGTATTCTCCGCCTACAGGTATTTTAATGAAGCACGCACGCTTTGCTACAAGAAAAAAAAAGTTTTCCTCCCATACTTTATAGGCTGATATGTTTTTGATTAAGCATAGTTAAACAGTTTTAATTTAAACTTTTGAGAGCGTTGATATATGTTATACATTCAATTAAAAAAATATTATAAGTGTTCCTTGTGTTGAAACGAAGAAAATAATGAACAGAAACAAATTTGTTTTGGAGTTTTTTCCCCCAGAGAAATGCAAATATTATTTGTTACTATTTTTAGGTCACCTGAATCACTCAGGTGACACAATATTGCTATCTGTTTTCGTCTCGTAATTAAGACAAAAATCCATAGAAATTGATTGATCTCCAAAAGTACATACATCAAGCAAACTGTTAAGCCCTGTACCAAAATTTTGAAATTGCAATGGTAGCACTTTATTGGTCATATAGTACAATGCACTCATTCTCCTAAAAACTTTCTCTCACCAAGAAAAAGCAAACAAAGTTAGTGGTTGTGATTTGCAAAAGTGAATTTACGGAAATTGTGAAATGCATGGCCCATAGATCAGGGGATCTGGTTTTAGGATGAGACTCTAATGATCATAGAGAGTTTGAATCTAGATTTCATAACAGTGAATGTTGCGAATCATTAATACTTTAAGCCGCTGCGTTATACGAATGATATTGATTCTTAAGAAGTCTGTCAGTGTCTGTTCATTAAACTAAAATTTGCTAAGAAAGAATTTTAATAACGAAAAGATCCAGTCTTGTATTCAACCACATTTCAAGATGAGTCCACAGATAGCATTTCCTAAACATTCATCGACTATTCCTTTTGAAGTATTTTTTTTTAATTACAAAAACCTACTTTCCATCGACAGGTTGCAAAAACAACGAGACATTGAAGAAGCAGCACGTGAAAGCCATATCAGTAGCCTGCAAGGAATTGCACATAAAGGTTTAAAGTATTGGGTTTGATTTTTCACTAAATCAGGTGAGACATGCAATACTTTTGATGTCTTTCTGTTGTCAATCCCCCATTTGTCTAAAATTACTGAAAATCATACATCTTCCCTCTCTGAACTCTCTTCTCTAACTGTCCCCATCTTGTTAACGTTTTATATTTTGATGTTGGTGTCATGATCTGTTCAGATGTGAATGTATTTTGATGTTGATGTCATGAATTCTTCAAACATGAATTTATATTGATGTTAATGTCATGTTTTGTTCCAAAGTGAATATCTGCGATGTGTTCAAAAGTTTTGATTAATTACTAATCTTATAACAGTTGTGTGTGTTCAGGTATTGGATCGAGACAAAGAGGGGTGACCAGAGTCCCCCAAATAAAGGGAGAGTACTCTGTAGTCCTGATTTGACTGGAGGTTAACTTTGAAACAGATGGTTAAGTACGAAGCTATAATTTTTGTATGTGTATAAAACCGTATATTTTTGTTATGCATGTTGTTTAAAAATATTAGGGTAACTCTTTGAAATACTATTCCTTTCTTGTTTAGATGTGAATGTGAGGGTGGAAATTGTTTCATTCACAGGGGTTGTATTTTGCACAAAAGAACAAGAGATAGTGACTTGCCAGCAAGAATTAAGATATCAACTGCAGGGCGTCTAAGACGTTATGGTAAGATACAACATGTATCACTCTGTCGAATTTTTTCTCACTCTCTTTGTTGGGGAAAAGAGCCCTCAGCAGTTTATTGACGATGTTTCTTATTTATCACTAGAGCGAATGTTGGACTGACCTCCATGTCTAGATGATGTTGAAAACATTGATCTGAAGCTTAACCCAAAATTGAGGAATCTCCTGCGGCCAAATCCTGAAGAGATGGTTAGATTCATCTTGAATTAGCTCAATTTGCTATCTGTGACTTTGTATAAGCTTTCTTAACGAGATATGAAGACTGAACATTCTTTTGAATTTCTATGTTAGAGGAAGATGATTAGTTGTAAATATGACGTTTGATTTGGTGGTGTGGGGGAGCCTTTTATAGTTACACGGCGGCCGTCCTTGAAAAATGCTGTAAGATTTAAGCTCTTCTTTTTGAACACTTTTCTAAAATTGAACTTATTAATTGCCGTAAATCGGGCCAAAAATGACTTGTCGGCTTCCCATTGACAGGTTGGAAAACACAACAAGAGACAAGAAAGCCATATCAGTAGCCTGCAAGGCATTTTACATAAAAGTTTAAAGTATCAATTGGGTTTGATTTTTCACTAAATCAGGTGAGACATGCAATACTTTTGATGTCTTTCTGTTGTCAATCCCCCATTTGTCTAAAATTACTGAAAATCATACATCTTTCCTCTCTGAACTCTCTTCTCTAACTGTCCCCATCTTGTTAACATGTTTTATATTTTAATGTTGATGTCATGATTTGTTCGAAAAATGAACATATTTTGTTGTTGAGGTCGTAATTTGTTCGTAATTGAATATTTTCCCCTTTGATTGGTGTGTTCAAAAGTTTTGAGTAATTACTAATTTTATGTCAGTTGTGTGTGTTCAGGTACTGGATCGAGACAAAGAGGGGTGACCAGAGTCCCCCAAATAAAGGGAGAGTACTCTGTAGTCCTGATTTGACTGGAGGTTAACTTTGACACAGATGGTTAAGTACGAAGCTATAATTTTTGTATGTGTTATAAAACCGCATATTTTTGTTATGTATTGCTTAAAAATATTAGAGTACCTCTTTGAAATACTATTCCTTTTTTGTTTAAATGGGAATGTAAAGGTGGAAGCTGTTTCATCCTCAGGGTTTGTATTTTTCACAAAAGAAGGGGAGATAGTTACTTGCCAGCAAGAGTAAAGAGATCAACTGCAGAGCCTCCAAGACAATATGGTAGGATACAACATGCATCACTTTGTCGAATTGTGTTTTCTCACTCTTCTTATTGTGAAAAGAGGCGTCAGCAGTTTATTGACATTCTGTCTTATTTATCATCAGAACGAGTGTTGGACTGACCTGTAGGTCTAGATGATGTAGAAAACAGAAATAATAAAAGTTATACCAAGTTTTCTTGAAGTTATTGATGGAGTACGATTCTTCAAGGGTTTTACAGATCACTTCAGTTTAGGAATTAACAAATATTAATCAAATAAAATTGTGAGCTTTCATTATTGTCTTCTCTTTGTGCAAAAAAATCTTTAAATCGGACCAAACTTTAGTTCGACTACGGTAGCTTTCGAAAGAATGTTACATAAAGAGTGTCATGTACAAGCCAAGTCGAAACTCTTCGTCATTCATTATCCCTCAAGAAGCTCGCATTTTCAGATAGTATTGCACATAGTTCATAAGTCAAGAGTGATAATAAGTAGCTGTTATGTACAGTAGTTCGTTGGTTGAAAAAAGCTATGAAGGATGACCAGAGAGCTACAGTGCCATCCATTGAAAAAGTATACATTAATTGCGCACAAAAAGGTTTGTTGTTTTATCGATTTACATGTATTTCTTCGTTTATGTATTCTTCCACCTAAAAATTTTACTAATATTCTTTTACTTCCACAACAAAACATTTTCCCAAACCGTTATTGATAACGCCAGTGGGTCTGAAATTGTAATGAATATACACTTTTTTTATTGGGTGGCACTGTAGCTCTCTAGTCGTCCATTCCGAATTTTTCAGACCAGCAAGCTACATATCTGTAGCTAGATAATATATTACAATACGAGGATTATAATCTCATATCGTTTTCTAAACCATTTGATCAATGCCTTTCATGTAGCTTACATTACCTGAAGTAAATACAACAATCCATAATTTCAAACTTTATTTTCATCTGAAACATTTTTACCCTTGAACAAAAAAGTTAAGGACCCTTTGTTCCAGCTTGAATTAACTGATCCAGATTGGTAATAACTTTCGTCACCAGTTTTGTCATTTCGGCAACATTAAAGTTCGGGGAGTTCAGCATGCTCAGTACACTGAAATGAAAAGTTAGATAAATAAATTAAATAAACCAATTGACATTAGATGTGAAAGTCAGCGTTACATAAAATGCACATTCTGATGAATACATGTATATTTGAAGGCTCAGGTATAAAAACACTCAAGGGGGGTGCGTCGATTTACCCAAAAGGACATAAAAGGAACCCAAAAGGACCCAAAAGGAAATTAAAAGGACTCAAATTAATATATTATGATACATTGAAAATTAATAATTTGAATTAAATTATGAATATTATATTATAAATTTACCTAAAAGTTGGCAAAAACATACATTTATATTGTTGCAACTTTTCTTAAAGAAATAACATACGATTTTTATAACACATCAAACACTAAATCTGGTCAGACATGCTTCGATTTCTTTTAGCTGAATTTAACAAAGTACACTGTATTATTCTATTTCTCCTTCTGTTTTACCATATCTGACTATATGACATTTGATAAATAAAGAAATGTTTTATTTAATGACATGCTCTAGGCATATGGTATCGGGAATGGGTGGGGGGTGGGGGGGGGGGGGGTTGAGGTTGGTGTGCACCTCCCATTCCCCACCCCAAACACACACTTTACCCTCAAAAAAATACTTTTAGCTTTAATAAAATATGAAAGTATTCATTGATTATTCATTAATTCTCTTTATTTCAAGTCCTTTTGGGTAGTTCTAAATTTCCTTTTGTATCCTTTTGTGTTCCTTTTTGGATCTATTGGGTCTTTTTTGGGTAAATCGACGCACCGCTCAAGGGTATTGGACCATCATTAAAAAGATGTTGGTTTGCTTTCTCCCAAATGGTTAACTAAACTTTTTTTTATACATTGTGACGATATATTTTCTTTTTATTCCCCTTATCCCCTTAATGTTAAATTTTCTGGAAAAAAGATTTCCCACCTACCTACCGACCCAATAAATTTACCCCAAATTGAGAGAGGGCAATCAACCATTTTAAAGATGACCAAAACTAGTAATTTTTAAAGTTTAGATCAAATAGACATAAATAGCAAATCAACACATTGTCCATAAAGAAAAGACTTTCTGGAAAATAGTAATTATTTCGATATTTTCATTGTCTGTGCGCATAACTGGTTGAAATAGGAAAATCATGAAACCTTGTTTCATTAGTCATCAAGATAGAAATAAGCTCATTTATAACTTCAAAAATGCTGAATATATAGCAAGTCCGAACAACAGGGGAAAGAAGTTGATTGCCAATAACTGGTGTGAAAATAGGTCTAATCATCATCAAAATGAATAGCATACCAATTCAGTTCATTATTTGCAAGACAAGCGAAAAAAGTATCCGTAAAACTATAAAATATTAAGAAAATGACTAATAAATAGCTCAGAAGTCCCTCTGAACAATACAGTTTGGGAATAAAGCAAACACAGACCTAAAATCTTTAGAAATGTAATAAGGTGCCATTTAACATAATGACAGATTGGAAATAGTAACATTGTCAATTCATTGAAAAAAAGCAATGCAACTTTGATATCAAACCAGAATTTCAACTTCTACATGATTTCATATTTTCTAGAATCTTTCCAATCTGTTCTTCATTTGATTTTTTTGCTTGCAATTTTAATGCCCTTACAGTAACGTGTTGTTACCTACTTTTTCAGATCCCCTTGACTTTCTTGCACTTCATTCCTTACGTAAGTCCAATCTGTTTGAAAATTGAAATTAAATATGTTAAAGCACATCAAGTTCATGAAAAGCTTCAAATTGGAATTTATAGGTTGTAACATATGAGGTGTGTGGGTTTTTTTTATTTCTTTACTAATTCCAATTCAAAATGTTATTTGGAATATTTGATCATTTTAATACAAACCTTTGGAGTGAATACATAGAAATGAATTGCCTTCCTGACCGATTGACATACACAAACCTACCTGGTACTGGTGAACCACTGGGGTACGGCGGTGTTGAGGGTGAGGGAGAATGGGTTGATAAGTGAGCAATGATTCTTTGGAATGCCTGGCGTTGTTCCGGCTCTGTAGTTAAAAATTTACAGTATTTGCTTGTAGATATTTTTCTGCTTTTACATCTCATTTTAAAAATATTAATCATATAGTGATCTACAGTAAAAACGCATATGGCAAATACTCTTATTTATATGAATTTACACTTATAGCGAACTTCATTTCCCTTTAAAATATATTGAACACTTTGAACACTTAACAGATATAATGAATTGTGGTTGTAACGGAGCAGATGTATTTTGTTATTAGTGTGTTTATACGGGATAGTAAGTGCACATTGAATATTTTCTCACCCAGATACTTGGCAAACATATTTTCCACACTGTATAGAGGACTGTTAAACAAGTTGTATTCATAGTTCTCGATAACTTTCATGGCATCTTTGGTGTACTCGAGTAATATCTTGGTAATCTGATCAAACGGAAATATATGTTCGTAGATTGTGGACCACTCATTGCTGTAAAACTCGGAAGCAACTTCTGACAACATCTTGTGCGCGATTCTGTGAATGTATCCAGTCTCCATCATGTCAAGGAAGCTGTAGAACAATACAAAATATAACAGTAAGTTAAGATTCAATGAAAAATGAGTATATTTGCTGATTTAATTTTTGCATGAAGTTCTTTCTCGGATAACCGTCTTTATGGTGCAACTTTTGCTTTAGCGTATTTTCCACAAAGTAAAATATATCACCTTACCAAAACGGTTAAAAGTTACAGATTCTTTAAGAAAGATACATTAATGCCATCTATGAAACCATTTATTGAAGTGGTAAAATTTTCAAGTATATGAAAATAATTTTTGAACGTCAATTATAACATAATGACACGCCATAAATCTTACAAACGAGAAAGAAATATTCTGAATTGAATAATTTTTGGTTATTTTGATTGTTAACTACACAAAATTAAAGAGATATATTATTATTCTGTAAAACACAAAAAAATATGTACATTTTTTTGAACTTATCATGTCTATTGAAGTTCAACAACACATGTTTCGGTAAGAAATGTCTTTTAACAAGACCTCAATTTGATTGGCTATTATATTTATGGAAAACCTGTTCTACAGGTATTTGAAGCAAAACAACTTATCCATTTCAAAAGAAATGTGAGTTTAGTATTTTTTTTTGACAATAAACACTCTAAAGATAGCTCAAAACGTTCCATTCGAAAGGAAAATTTTACCACTTCAATGCGCTTCATTGTATTATCGATATCAGAAGAAACATTGTCCAAGACTATTGGAAATAATCCGTGCACATTTGTAAAAATTAGAATCTGAATACTACCAACGCCCAAATCTTTCAAAACTAAAAAATTCTACATCGATTAATTTGTGCTAATTTTAAATGTTAACTACACAAAATTAACACCGAAAATGTTATCAATTCTATTCAAAAATAAACTTTTTATTTGTAAGTTGGTCAAACTCTCAAAAGGTCTTGTCACAAGGAATACAGTGAAGTGTGAAAGCTCTAGCACTAACTATTCAAAAGTTACATGTATGGCCAACGTAAAAGTGGGTCAAACTTAAATGTCAAGGCCAAGTGGTCATATTTGGTGGTATTCAAAGAAAGTTCTTGACACAAGAAATACACCTGTGAAATATTAAAGCCATAACCCACCCACTCAAAAGTTATGGTCAATGTTTAAGTTTTTGCAGATAAACTAAGACATTGGCGTCGGAAGCAAATTGAAAGTGGGGGGGGGGTAAGTGTAAAAAAAATTTTGTTATACCTTCAAATAAACTGACAAGCAAAAAAAAGGAAATTTTGCTAAACACGAAAAACTTTGGTGGTGGTGGTGGGGGGGGGTGTAGGTTCACTAGCAAAAATTTTTCCAAATACCACTTTCCACATTAATTTAACCTTAACTACAACGTGTCTGTGGAAAGTGGGGGGGGGGGCTAAACCTACGCAGCGATGTTCAATGTCTATACTAAGTCTATCTTTGGAAAAAAAGTGGGGGGGGGGGCAGAAGTGAAGCAGTACAAAATGAAAGACGGACAGGACTAAAAAATCTTTTTCAGAAAGATTACGGGGGCATAATAAATAAATCCGGATTAAAGGGCACATTAACAAATTGGGGATGTTTACTTTAATTTAGCGATTACCCGACAAGAGATGTTTTACGTCATTTCAAGGAAATTTTTGCTTTGCAGAAGAAACTTAGGGAAACATAATTGCCACTTATGGTCTTTTCAACAAGCGGATGTATTATTGTACATGACAAACCCGCCCCTTTCAGAAAATTCGGCATTCAACATTCTCTCTCAGAATTCTTATTATCTGCAAAGTTAGGTATATAGTTTAATAAATAAACATTTAAAAGGCTATTGAAAATTTTTTGTCTAATTTTTTGAATTTTTTTTGTACATGAAGCTTGCCAGACAGACCCCAAAAATCCGATTGATGCAGATACCTTACTAATAAAACGGGAGCTTAGAGGTTCGGTGGTGAATTTGAAAATGAACTATAAAGTGCTAAATATTGAATCTACTATTTACCCTTTTCTTGTCTCGTTAGCTATCCTTTTATGATTCCACTTCATTTTGTCCATGCTAGTACACTGTAACGCATGCCCATTCTGCATAAGCTGGTTCCCCATTTCCTGTTCAAATTTCTGAGACCACGTGTCGGACATGCCCGTATTCTTCATTTCCATGAATCTGTGCTCGGTGAAGTGGTAGAAGCTTTCCACAAATCTGTCAAGTTCTGCGATAAATAAAATTGAAGATTTGTTTTATTGTTTATGGGTAAACCCATAAAAGTCAACTATATACACAGATGTAAAATGTGCGAGAGAGGGAGAGAAATACATGTTAAAGAGAAAGACAGAGGGGGAGAGAGCACGCGAATTACCTTCAAACTCTTCTGAGAGAGCGAAATTTATAAGGCTATAGAACAAGTAGCCGTGGAGAGAGAACATTATCCTGTGGGTCAGATTCATCGGCCTTGGGAATCCATGAAGAATGGCGGCCACTCTGGTGGACAGGGAATCGTTCCGGAAGGTTGATTTCATCTCTTGTGTGACGGCATCTAAAAAAGGAGCATTTTATTCCAGCAATTCAAAACCTGAACATTCATAGTGTCTACCTGTTACATCAATAGAATATGTATATCTTACTAGAGATGGATAAATTCGACCATTGTATAACTTAAATATCTAAAGGTGATTTGAATAACAGTAATTATTTTATAAGGTAAGCAATCAATGTTCATGTTGCAAATTCGTCATTTTATAAGAACTGATCATTTACAATCCCCACGGGCAATATTTTGACCCCCCCAACCTTAAAGATGATTCGTGCAGTTATATTGGGATTCCATATTAAACAGTTTGCAGTTTAAGGTAGTGACTAGATAACTACATGTCATTTAAGGAAATCGAAGCCACTTACAAATTATGACTTGTTGGTATTTGGAAGTGGCACAAGTGAGTCGTCTCTCCACTATCTCCTGCGTAAATCTTCTCACCAGAAACAAAGCCGCAACCTCCGGGTCATCCACAAAGGTTAGAAGTTTCATTGTACGTTCCACCAGAGGGCGGAACTTGTCCGGATAGAAATTTATAAAATCTAGAATGAAATGTATATGGTTCCTTAAAAGAACTTATTTTACCAATACACATTCAATATTAAGCTATTGCAATTGTGGCATTTATACTTGATAAAAATTAACCACTATAAGCAAAAAGATTTTAACAAATATGAAATTCAAGTAAAGCTAATATTTGCAATATAATAAAGGAATGCTAATATCTTTCTGCACCCTGTTAGTGTACTTACCAACCATGTCGTCTGTTCTTGGGAAGCTGAGAACACGTCTCCACAGTATCTGAGTCAATATAGGGCAATGGAGACCGGAATCAAGGTTGAATAAAGGACCAGACGAATTGCCCCAGGTCGAGTTGTCTGGAGTCCAGGGACCTGGACCTGGCGTGGGTCTAACAGGGGATTCTGTGTACGGAGCATTACTTGGGGAGGGCGAAGGTCTGAATCCACTTACTGCATTGCCGCCTGGGTTATACGTGACGCTTGTAGGACTTTGCCGTCGGTCAAGGTAATGTCTGATTTTGGAAATCAATTCAGAATAAGGGTCGCCACGTTTGGCACGTGTTTGATGTACAGCGAGGGCATCTGTAAGCAGAAAATTTTGATGTAGAATACTGCACGGGCATTTAGTATAGTGAGCAAAGAACTTGTTGCAACAGTGCATGGAAACTAACTGAAATTTGGTCGTGCAAGTTCCCAGATGCACTTGGCTACTGTACCAATATTCCATGCTAAAATGGCGTACACAATATAAAGGCGACCAAAATTGAAATCTTGCAGAATCTTGTTACACATGTATGTGGTCTATGTATCACAAATTATCGTTACTTACGTACAGTTCAAATCAATTTTGTACATGTAATACAAAGAACATTTCACGAACTTTGTATTTAAGTGTTTATCAGTGTGAATATTTTAAACTACGTTTACCAGAACGGTTGCACCGTAAAATATTACCTCTGTAAAATAAGATTTAAAAATTCAATAAAAATTTTCTGAAATATTGGCCTCTAAAACTTACCTGAACAGATTCCACAAAAGAGTACTACGAAGACCACAAACGAGTACATGGTGCTGCACGAGCTTTAATAGGACAAAATCTCCTAATGCGATATTTATATAGGGTACCAGACGTGTTTGACTGGGAACTCTTTATTCGTAGTATCACGTGACTCCGCTGGCCAATCCATTTCAAGAATAAAAGCACGTTGCGAGTACCTGACTGATCGGAACAATTTCCCTGTACGAGTCTTGCTAACCAATCAAATCATTACGTTGTTTTTTACGTGAAAAAAAATCTTGATATATGTACAAGTTTCCCATTTTTATGCTCATCAGTATAATCATAAATTTTTCATGATTATCAAAGTTGTCATAATACATGTATTAGTCGTGCTCATTTGGTTTATGTTGCATTCAAATCTCATTGGCTATTGTATTTGTGGAAAACGTTCCGCAGTCAAATATCCGAATTCTTTTCCTTTATAAAGAATTGGGCGTGCCATTAATTATCAGAATCTGTCAATCAATGTTCAATTTGAAATGCTGAAAACGGTCCTTCTAAACGTTAAATTCTTTTTACTTCAGTGCGAGTCATTGTATTTTAAAAGCTTGTAATCTGAGGAGTAATTAAAAAATTCTGACTTAGCGCCGAAAATCGCAAAAACCTACAAAAATTGTAACAGCATTCCCGAGAAATTGGTTACGTTTATATCTGAAACTTTGAAAATTTACACCTTCTCTAAAAAAAAAATACTAAGGATAAATGATACGAACCTTTTTTCAGAAATCAGCAAGATTTAAATTATATATAATTTTACAATTTTAAAAATTAAAAATGTGGGCATACTTTTGTAAACTTTTTACACAGAAAACAAAACAAAAGCGCATACCGAAGCACCACGAAAACTTACTCGTATTACATGTATATATCTAATTTAGGGATTTATAAGATACATGTACGTCTTTTATAATCATACTCTATCATCCAAAAAATACATATTTATCAGTGCATGATGGTTTTTTTTTTTGGTTTTGGTTTTTGACATGTACTCTTAAAACGTATAAATAAAATCATACATTAAATGCAGTTTATTTAGATATTGGAGAGGGGGCTGCAATGCATTACCGAAATTTTGAAAACCGGTCGGATATCATTACAGAAATAATCGATGGTTGATACATGTACCCAGCAGTGCGATTGAATTGCTATGTAATTAAAGACAGATAATACAAACAAAAATATGGAAGTCTAGATTGGTATGATTATATTTTTGTCCTATTTTTAGATCACCTGAGTAACTAAGGTGACCTATTGCTATCCGTTTTCGTCCGTCGTCGTCCGTCGTGTGTCGTGTGTTAACATTTGAACATTTTCAACCAAATTTGGTATACAGCATCTATGGGTGGAGGGGAACAAAAATTGTGAATTTCATGGTCCCCGCCCCCTGGGGCCTGAGGGGTGGGGCCAAAACCACTTAAATTAATGAAATCTTTAAAAATCTTCTTCTTTACTCCTGGACATCAAGCAGGCAAACTATTGGCATGAATGTAATGAGCATTGAGTCCTCTATCAAAATTGTGAAATTCATGGCCCCAGGGTCAGGGGTTCTAGTGCTAGGGCGGGGCTCTATAGATTATATAGTGAAAATGCATTATTTCTTTGAAAATCTTCTTTTCTGCTCCTGGGTATTAAATACACTAACTAAGCACATAGTTATGATGAGCAAGAGTGCCTCTTCCAGATTTGTGAATTTCATGGCCCCAGGGTCAGAGGTTCTGGTGTTAGGGCGGGGCTCTATTGATTATATAGTGAAAATGCATTATTTCTTTGAAAATCTTCTTCTCTGCTCCTGGGTATTTAATAAACAAATTAAGCACATAGTTATGATGAGCAAGAGTGCTTCTTCCAGATTTGTGAATTTCATAGCCCCAGGGTCAGGGGTTCTGGTGTTAGGGCGGTGCTCTATAGATTATATAGTGAAAATGCATTATTTCTTTGAAAATCTTCTTCTCTGCTCCTGGGTATTTAATAAACAAATTAAGCACATAGTTATGATGAGCAAGAGTGCTTCTTCCAAATTTGTGAATTTTATGGCCCCAGGGTCAGGGGTTCTGGTGTTAGGGCGGGGCTCTATAGATTATATAGTAAAAATGCATTATTTCTTAGAAAATCTTCTTCTCTGCTCCTGGGTATTAGATAAACTAACTAAGCACATAGCTATGATGAGCAAGAGTGCCTCTTCCAGATTTGTGAATTTTATGGCCCCAGGGGCAGAGGTTCTGGTGTTAGGGCGGGGCTCTATTGATTATATAGTGAAAATGCATTATTTCTTTGAAAATCTTCTTCTCTGCTCCTGGGTATTTAATAAACAAATTAAGCACATAGTTATGATGAGCAAGAGTGCTTCTTCCAGATTTGTGAATTTCATAGCCCCAGGGTCAGGGTTTCTGGTGTTAGGGCGGTGCTCTATAGATTATATAGTGAAAATGCATTATTTCTTTGAAAATCTTCTTCTCTGCTCCTGGGTATTTAATAAACAAATTAAGCACATAGTTATGATGAGCAAGAGTGCTTCTTCCAAAATTGTGAATTTTATGACCCCAGGGTCAGGGGTTCTGGTGTTAGGGCGGGGCTCTATAGATTATATAGTAAAAATGCATTATTTCTTTGAAAATCTTCTTCTCTGCTCCTGGGTATTAGATAAACTAACTAAGCACATAGCTATGATGAGCAAGAGTGCCTCTTCCAGATTTGTGAATTTTATGGCCCCAGGGTCAGGGATTCTGGTGTTAGGGCGGGGCTCTATAGATTATATAGTGAAAATGCATTATTTCTTAGAAAATCTTCTTCTCTGCTCCTGGGTATTAGATTAACTAACTAAGCACATAGTTATGATGAGCAAGAGTGCCTCTTCCAGATTTGTGAATTTTATGGCCCCAGGGTCAGGGGTTCTGGTGTTAAGTCGGGGCTCTATTGATTATATAGTTAAAATACATTTATTCTTTGTAAATATTTTTCTTTGCTTTTGGGTTTTAAGCCAATGATCCAAGTATATATATATTTATGATGAAGAAAGGTGCATCTAGAAGAGTGGTTATTAATGCCCCCAGGGTCAAAGGGGGGGGGATGGTTACATAGCCTGAAAATAAATTAATGCTTTGAAATCTGCTCTTTGGTATTAATCAACCATTTTATGATAAAATTTGCAACATTTTGAAATATATGGCCCTGGGTCAGTGGTTCCTTTGGGGTGAGGTGCACAACTGGTTATAAAGTGGAAGTGCATTTTCTCTTTGTTACTCTGATCTACCTCTGGGTATTAAGTAAATAGAGTAAGCATGCTAAGTTAATAATTATGATATGCAATGGTGCCTCTTTCAAAATTGTAAATTGTGAATTTCATGGCCTCCGGTTTAAACACGAACCAAATTTAATTGTTTGAAAGTTGTTACACAATACTCAGGTGACCTATAAGGCCCGTGGGCCTCTTGTAGTTGTAAATGATTAGAATATACATTGTATTTGTAAAATATTAAGAATTAAAAACTTTCTACGATTTTCAAAATTTCACCCTTCTGCAGCCACCCGTATTTATCTATATAAATTTTCGTCACTTGAAATCCAAATACCGGGGCACTGTGAAAGGAAATTGAAAATCTATGCTGTTAAACTTATTCAATTTACTTACATAATCATGACTTAAGCTGTCAAGATTTTTGATAAAAATTTGTATATGTCCTTAAATTGAATCTAGAAATATGGTGACTACAGTGGTCCTTCAGATATCCGGATGCTTCAGTATCCGGACGATTTTTCAAGGGAACGGAATTCTTTAATGTTATTTTGTCTTGTTTAACTGGTGATGCAGGTATCCGGATGCTTCACGTATCCGAACAAATTGACTAGGAACCAAATAAATGGATAAATGAGGCTCCACTGTACATACATGTATCTGCAACATTATATTGCACTTTGGGCCCTACTTATGTAAAAGTCTGTAAAATGCTATGTTGAGGATTTTAAGCGTTGCTGATTTGAGTCGATTGTTATTGTATAAAGGCTCCAACAATTGAAATCAATTATGAATTATTCTGCTGTAAACCTTCCTTTACCTCCCCTTGATAAGAAGTAGACTTCAGAATAACGATGCTAAGTGATTCAAAGTAGAGCTGAGGAAAAAAAGCTTAACGTCGATTATTTACTTAAAAAAAGTTCTCGGTAAGGATGTATGAATATTTTCGATATTGATTATAAATATATTTTGGAAATCGTATATATGAATTTTCTGTAATCCAGGACTGCGTACATGTATGAGAGGAAAATTAAACAATAATAAAGGCACCACAAAGCCGAGCATCTCCTCGCAAAAGGCATAGCGGCATTCGACATCGTCCCTATACTAACGTCACTTTTGTTTAGCGTAGGATTAACTAAACAACGCATAAACACACACAATACTATATCCCATCAAACCCCGGTACATTTTGATAATATACCAAATACATGCAAGACTTTAAATACAATCTTTATAATGTCTTTTATTTATAACATTTACTTGTTTATTTAAGGATTTATATCTACATGTACAATATACATGCAGGGGATACAATGTATGTAACCTTTCCTTTTAAAAATCTAAAGAGCAATTATAGATCAACCGCTAATGAAGACAATAATATGAAAATGTAATGTTTGGAAGTGAAAGAGAGAGCAATTTGTTTCTTACAAAGATTCTGAGAGTATTGCATTAGTAATAATAATAGAACCCTACCGAAAATGTAATCTGGATCTTATTAAAACTTGAAAATGCCATAATCTCAAAAAAAATCATTGAAGCAGGCTGCGCCTCGGGAAATAGTCCAAACCTTGAGGAACTGGAATCTTGCTAACTCCCTTAATGATATACTTTTTAATTCACTGTATACTATTATATGTACATATATTCTTATAGCGTATCTTTAAAATATTCTTTATAGCATATAAACAAACAATAATTTCAAGCACTTTAAACAGTAGACTTTAAGCGAATTAATGTATTACGCACTCTATTCCTTACAAAGAATTAAGTATGGGATCCGGTCCCTTCGGAGTCTTGGCCCCTTTTCTTTAAAAAAAATGGCGCGCTACTCCTTCTTAACCATATAACATACTACACTGTAGCAGCTCTCACAAGGTTGTCTTTTGAAAACATACATGTATTAGGTAAACTAGTGCTGTAGTCATTATAAAACACGGAAGATGTCTGAACCATTAGTTTAATTATCATTAGGAAGGCCTTATGGTGCATTTGATTGATGATGAGGGGACAGAATGACGGATATAGAGTGGGCTGCACATCGACAAAGGCAGAATTCATTAAAATCATCGGTAGAACCAAGGAGCCTTTGGTTGTAATATTCCAGTACGGTGCTATTTTTGAGCAATTGCATCTTCTATAATACCTTTTTAGGAATCATGGAAAACATAATAGAGGCTGTCTTTCCGAACCTGCCGGAAAAGATCCAGGGTTTTTTTTAAAGGTTTTTTCTCTCGAAAATATTAGATATTTATTATAAGTATTAACTGATTTCTGCTTACTGTGACCTAAGTTTATACTTATTATTTTCATACATTTATATGATTTATGTACAGGTTAGACTACAAAACTGAACTTCAAATCATATGTTTCAGCCAATGAAATGAAATGGACATGCAGAGGTAATCTCAGAATGGCCTTCCGTGAAGTCGAGCATGCGTATTCCAGTAAAAAAGACGGCGTAGATGTTAGAGAAAAAAGCAATTGGAGGCATATCTGAACCGTTAGGAAGGTGGGTATTACTTTGAACAGGTAGAAGCAGCCTTCTCTCCAAGCAGTCTTTGAGAGAACATTTTTTATGCCCCGCCATGAATATGGCCAGGGCATATAGTGTTTGTCATGTCATTCTTTCGTCCTTCTGTTTGTCCTTCCGTCACACTAAACATTGCGTTTAGGCTTTAGCTTAGTTCAAAGCTCAATTTCAAAGAAACTATCCAAGATAGTTCTATCAAACTTAAGATGCTGACAGATATTGATGAGATCTATGCAACTCATCAACATATTTTTACCTTGACCTTTCCTTTGACATTTGACCTCAATTTTCTTAAATCAGTGTTTAAGTCAGCTTTTAAGATACCATTCAAGATAGTGTTATCAAACATCATATGTTGACACATACTGATAAGAGCTATGCAGCTGCATCACTATTTTTGAACTTGACCTTGACCTGACTTTTCTTTAATTAGTGTTTAAAGATTTCATTTAAGATACTTTTGTCAACTTCATTTGTTGATACGTACTAATGAGAGCTATTCAATTGCATCAACAATTTTGATCTTGACCTTTTCTTTGACCTTGACCTCATTTTTCATTTATAAGTGTTTAGCTCAGTTAAAGAAACCATTTAAGATATTTTTTATCAAACTTCATTTTCTTATACGTACTGGTGAGAGCTATTCAACTGCATCACATTTTTAGCTCACCTCAACGAGTTATTGATCGGCGTCGGTGTCGGTGTGCAACGTCAGGTTAAGTTTTTTGGAGCAGTTTTCTTTTTAACTACTTCTATGTCCTATATTTCCATGGAGGATGGACAGTGTGTTTCATTGCACCATTCAAAGTTTTTCAATTTCAGCAAAGGAATGACCAAAATAATGTTTTTGGAGCAGGTTAACATTTTTGGTGCAGTTTTTGGTGTAGGTTTCATTCAAGTAACTATAAGCCCTATGTTACCAAACTTGCATGGATGTTGACACATCGGACTCGGATGCTAAGACCTACAGCTATGAACAGGTTAAAGTTTTTGGTGCAGGTTTCGTTTCAGTAACTATTTTGACCAAACTTGCATGGATGATACATTAAGGATGCATACTATTGGTCTTGCTTGATGCTGAATCTGACCTACTTTTCCGGTTGAGTGAACAGGTTAAAGTTTTTGGTGCAGGTTTCATTTCCAAGTAACTATAAGCCCTATGTTGACCAAAATTGCATTGATGATACATCTAAGGATGCATACTATCGGGCTTGCTTCAGATGCTGAATCTGACCTACTTTTCCGGTTGAGTGAACAGGTTAAAGTTTTTGGTGCATGTTTCATTTCCAAGTAGCTATAAGACCTATGTTGACCAAACTTGCATAGATGATACAATCGGGCTTGCTTCAGATGCTGAATCTGACGGTTGAGTGAACAGGTTAAAGTTTTTGGTGCAGGTTTCATTTCCAAGTAACTATTAGCTCTTTTTTGACCATTCTTGCATTGATGATACATCTAAGGATGCATACTATCGGGCTTGCTTCAGATGCTGAATCTGACCTACTTTTCCGGTTGAGTGAACAGGTTAAAGTTTTTGGTGCAGGTTTCATTTCCAAGTAACTATAAGCCCTATGTTGACCAAACTTGCATGGATGATACATCTAAGGATGCATACTACCAGGCTTGCTTGCTGAATCTGACCTACATTTTCCGGTTGAGTGAATAGGTTAAAGTTAATGCATGACTCATTTCCAAGTATCTATGATTCTTTAATGACCAAACTTGCATGGATAATACATATAAGGATGCATACTACCAGGCTTGCTACAGATGCTGAATCTGACCTACTTTTTGTGGATGAGTAAAAATGTTAGTTTTTGATGCATGTTTCATTCTAATTAACTATGAGCCCTATAATGAGCAAACTTGCATGGACAATAAATCTTAGGATGCAAACTAATGGACTTGCTTCGGATGCTGAATTCGACATGCATTTTTCAGATAATAGACCAGGTAAAAGTTATGAGTGCAAGTCTAATACCAAAAAACTATAAGGCTTACATAACATTGTATAAACCAAACTTGCACAAATGTTGCATCAAGAGATGAAAACTCTCAAATTTGCTTCAGATTCTGGATTTTAATTACATTTTCATGAAGAAGAACTAGTTTAAATTTTTTATGTAGGTCTGTTCAAAGTATCAGATCAAAATTGCTTAAATATTTTCATTTTTGGAATGTACACTTTTTGTTGGTTAATTGTGTGACTTTGCCTTACTTAAAGACAACATTCGTTGAGGTGAGCTCTGTAATCTCTGATTACCTATGTTTTACCTTTCCTTTGACCTTGACTTTACTTTTCTTAAATTAGTGCACGTGGTTAGCTCAGTTTTTAATTTATTCAAGATATTTTTATCAAACTTAATTTGCTGATACATACTGATGAAACCTACTGAACTGCATCAACATTTTTTTTTTACGTTGACCTCACTTTTCTTAAATTAGTGTCAATGTTAATTTGCTGCATGATACATACTGATTTAAGCAATTCAACTGCATCAACATTTTTGACCTTGACCTTTCATTTAACCTTGACCTCACTTTTATCAATCTGTGTTTAACTCAGTTTTAAAGAAACCATTCATAATATTTTTATCAACCTCATAAATGCTAATACATACTAATGTAAGCTTTTCATTTGCATCAACTGCATCAACGTTTTTTGACCTTGGCCTTTCCTTTGGCCTTAACTTCATTTATTTTAAATTAGTGATTGGCCTTTGAACTTTCTTGTGACCTTGACCTCAATTTTCTTAAATTGGCATTTTGCTTAGTTTTAAAGAAACCATTCAATATGTAGTTATGTAAGCTTATGCACATATACATAATTCTGTGAGAATTTATCATCTACATCCAACTTTTAAGATTTCAATTTTAAAGTAGCATATTCAAGATATTCTGATCAGATTTCATACAGTTATACAAATTTTCATGTTGCATTACTAATATACCCTCGGCGGGGCATTCATGTCCCACTGACATATTTCTAGTTTGCTTCTTAGCCACCATTCAAGAGGGGGGATAACTATTCTCCATTAAGAAGTTAATGGCTTGCTTTATGGTTACGGGGGGAGAAGTTTTAAACGAGCCATCAATTTCTCAGTAGAGAATAGGCATACGTTAATCTCGGAATGATTTCATGTAAATACGTTTATAACTTTAAAAAAACCCAAATGAAATCGATTCATTAGGCTAAGGGGTCAAACGTTTACTTGAAGAAGGTTAAAATGAATGGACATCAATAAATGAAACCCTTTGTTGTAGCCAAAAACCTATATATACAGTGTAATATGGTTTCATCGATTTAGTACTTTGAGGTTTAAGAGCAAGCAGTTAGAAAGACTCCCCTTTTAAGAAATAAAATATGTTTGGTAAATAAATACTGAATGCCCCGACCCGTTTTGAAGTCCAGGACCAAAAGTTTTTTTTTTAAATGAAGGTCAAACTTCCAGATGAAGATAAGAGTTTAAAAAAGTTGTTGTCAACCACGTACTTGTCACACAAAGCAGATAAACCAAATAAGAAAGTCCTTGCAACAACCAATTAAAAGTTATAGGGAATGTTGGAGTTTTTTCAATATGAATTCAAAGGTAAGATGGAGAGGTCAAAAATGCTGGTTTACAACAAAGGGTCTTGTCACAAGAAAAATACTTGTGTTACATGTAAGCTCTAGCACGAGCTGTCAAAGAGTTATGGACAAGGTTAAAGGTTTTAATAAAGAAGGACAAACTCAACTTGTAGGCTAATCTATAAAATACTTGTACAGGTACCATAGAAAGGTCCAATCATGAAAAAATTAAACCGATATGAAATAAAATAGTCCTAGCATCAACTTCTTAAGTTTGGCCAAGAATGAAATTACATTTTGCAAATTTTAAAGTAGGTAGACTGATTTAAACAAAGACATATAGATAGACATATGGACAAATCAAAAATTAAATGCCATCAAATCCTCGATTGGATGGTGCAACATGTTTATAAACATTCCTAGATATAATTCAATCCATTATATTAGTCCAGCCCAAAGTAAGTGGGATATGATTTCTATACTATTTTTTCTTCTTATATCCCCCTTTCCACTTCGAAGCAGGCATAGTCCTACATTTTCACAACATGAACTTGCTTATTAGTGACAGATTTTGATAAAATTATTCCTGTGCATATATTACTAAAACGTGTCAAAAATGTTTTTAAAAAAGCTAACTTACCTCAGACAGACGAACGACTAGCCAAAAGAATACATTCAATAATTTTATTGTGTCAAGACAATTGTCAATGCAGGGATATGGTGTTTCCCCTCTTTTTCCGATTCAAATCAGTACAATATGGCTACAGAAACTGTATATGTGCATTTATATTGATGTGTTTTTGGTCGAAGGTTTCGTGCCCTCAGATCATCCATCATCCAAGATATTAGTCGCTCCGATTTTGAAGGCAACCGAGCAATCAATGGGAAGCCCTAAATAATTCGAGATTAAGTTCATTTTATTGTTATATTCTACACAGTTATAATTAATAAGTTCAAAAAGATTTGTACAAAGCTATTTGAGAGAAAATACATAATCATATAGCCCTAAGAAAGCAAATGCTAACAAAGGTGAATTAGGTTTAACTAGCTAATTGGCTTTTTCTTCGTGTTCATTATTTGATTATTGTAAAAGTCAAGTAAAACGTTTATTATTTTTAAAGATTGTAATGGTTATTGCACCACATGAAAAAACTAACATCTATGATTAATTAGCAAGAAGAAAACAAACAAATGGCGAGGTTTGGCTGGAATTGCATGATACACTTGGTTTTGGGTGTTAACACAATCGTTAACATTCATGTAAAGTCCAAATTGTTCTTAGATATCTCAATAAACGCGTTAACCTCACCGAGGCCCATGTTTTCTTTTGTATCGTACAGATTTCTTACAAGATACAAATGAGATAATCAATTGATGCCGAGAATAAAATTGGCCGCGATTTTTTCGCGTGCTGATCATAATACATTGGATCTTTTTGATAGACATAAAAAAAAATGTGCAATATCGAAAGAAGTGTTGTGTCATCATAGCAGCTGTAGCATTTTCACGAAGATTTAATACAATTTTTTCCCCCTGTAAAATTATCATAAAAAGTTGCTTTAAACATTAAACCCCCTACCATGGGCTGATAAAGGATTTGCGATTGGGGACATAACTTCGTTCAGGCAGTGTGTCCAGGGCAAAGCACACCTTTGCCCTGATGGGGGCCCAGGGGGCAAACCCCCCGGTAGCTCCTTGGTTTTCGTGTATTTTAAGAATATAACCAGCCATAGTAATAGTGGTATTGACTAGTTACATGTATGTACCAAAGTACAAGTCATATCAAACTTTAACATTTTTTAGGGGTTCATGCGTCTCCAGCGCCCCTCCCCTTAAATCCGCCAGTACCTACTCCAACTTATTGTATAAAAGAACGGGGCGTACAAGGCGAGACCGATCTCCCGCTTTAAGACAAAATATTTTTCAAATTTCATAAAGAAAATAAATTTTAAAAAATGCAATGTCATTAATGCCATCATTGTTTCTTTTTATTGAATCATATATTGATTAATAATTTGTTTTAGAGTTGATGATTAGGTAGATTTGGAGGAAAATAAGTAACACAGCAATATACACTGACTTTTTAATATGAATGTGTCAAATCTCCAATTTTAATAAGGGCCGGCTAAAAAGACGGGAAAGGGAATTTAAAATACTTTTTTGTTTAAAAAAATGGAATCTGAAAAAAGGTAAAAGATCATCAAATCCATTTACTTAAGCCACTTTAGAAGAGGTCAAATAAGTGAGGACTGAGTTAGCTCGGTGGTGAACGCGTTTATTTTATTTTTTTTTTTTCATAAAATGAAATGTGGAGCGAGTTCAAATCCCGTAAAACTTTTTACACATATTTTTTTTGAATATGTTGTTCACACTAACATTGAATTTAATTCTTTTTTTAAACAAATTTATTTCAAGAAATTTATAAGATTATTGCGTTTTAATCGAGAAATGTCGAAAATACGGATTAGTAAGATAAAAACAAACATGCCGGCCCCGAAGTCTTATGGTTGTGTTTTGTGTAAGAAACAATTAATAAAAGGCAAAACGAAACGTATGTTAAGCACACGACTTCACATTCTGCTACAGCAGCAGCGAGGAATAACAGTGAGCCACAACTCTAGAATATGTGATAAGTATAGAATGAATGTAAGTACATGTACCACATCAGGTGATAAAGGGTGTTCCAAAACAATATTCCATTATTTCGCCTCCAGTCATTTTGTTAGGAAAACCTCATAAGAAGTGTGGCATTTTTCGGTCTAGTTAGGCAATACTTAGACCAAACACTGCTCGATCAGAACTTTTCGTAAAGTTTGGTGTTGTTTCTCCAGCCGGTTGTCGATATTGAATGGCAATCACATTTCAGAGAGTCTAAATATTGGCACTGACACTGAAAACGTCTAATTCTTCATTTACATCTAATGAAATAGTTGAGTTGCTACCAATTCTAAGAAAAAGTGCTCTCGAATCCATGAAGCATCATTTATATTTGACGACATAAGAATATCTGATGACGACATTCAAACACTTACTGGTATAAGTGACAGAGACTTCGATGACTTGGTAAAATCTGTTCTGTCACTCCAAAACACAAAGGTTAGATCATCAAGAAATGCTCTGGGAATTTTGCTTTTCAAATTCAAATCTGGTCTTTCATATAGTATTATTGCAACTTTGAGTGGACTAAGAAGCAGTTAGTTAGCCACATTGTAAAGAGTGCTCGTCGTGCACTTATGCGAGACTTTGTCCCGAAAACAGGATTTAACCATATTTCAAGAAATGAAATCGCGAACGATCATATCACTGACAATGCATAGCACCTGTTTACTGACCCAATCTCAGATACAGTAATACTCATCCTGGATGGCACATACATATTCCTACAAAAGAGTTCCAAGTATCAGTTCCAAAGATTAAAAGATGCTGTCTAAAAAAATCGACTATTAGTTAAACCTTTTATAATTACCAGCACAAATGGTTAATATTTTATTGATTAAATGGGACCGTACTTTGCGAATGGAAAGAATAACGCCTTTTCAATTATTACGCACATTGTCAAGTCCAATTCCGGGAATTTTATGGATTTTATGGAGGAAGATGATGTGCTTATAGTTGATGGGGAGTCGATCCTTACGTTGCAGGTTCGAATCCCACTGTAGGACGTGACATCGGTCCTTCGGATGAGACTGTATAAACCGAGGTCCCGTGTCGCAGTAGGTGCTGGCACGAGAAAGACCCCTCATTGCTCAATGGCCCTGAGTGCCGAGTGTAGGTCAAAATAGCTCTCCATCGGCAAGTGGTGGCGTCTCCATTTGAGTGAAATATTATCGAGAGGGACGTTAAACAACATACAATCAATCAATCTTAAATTCTTAAGGGTATTACCCTGATTCTAAAAATAGCACTCAGCTTCACCTGTATATTACTACACATTAATTGGTGCTGCTCGCTCTGCACTAACTGCCAGTTTGTCAGTATGTTATATCTACTGAAATACATCCTGTATGTATGTTGCTTGTTTGTATGGTACCTGTAATTGTACCTTGACCTATGGAGAGAGCGATCATAGGCATTTATGCCTGCTGTTTAATCCAATTCAGTGAATAAAATATATTTTAAACTAAATACAAACCTTCCTTGAAAAGCAATAACGATGGGGATGAAGAAATGGGCCACAGTATGCGTATTGCTTCCACCACAAGGAACACACCCCCCCCCCCCCCCCTGCAAAAAACGCTGTGCTGCAATGACATTCTATAGCAGGTCCAAACAATGGAAACTCATGGATGCACAGGACTTATTGCTTGATATTCCGGTTCTGACCCTAACAGATCTCGGACAAATTACGTTTACGTTTGGTGTACATGTATATCAAATTAAAACAAGCATCGAAATATTCAGATGAACATCTGCCTGATGGCATTTATAAGATTCATCTCTCAAATACAAAGAATTACTCCACGCCCGCGTTTCAGTCCCGTTATTCGACTGGTAAGCACTACAACCTTTGTATACAATACACTGTTACTGAAGTCCAGGGATGGTACTCTCAGTGTAAAGCAGGAGACAGACAGTGGAATGCTGTGCGCATGTCTGCTCAGTTCTTTGGTATCTTAGCTATGCCAGACATACAATACAGAGTACTCCACACAACCGCTGATGAATTCTCTACATCACTAGGTAATGTAGGAAAGTTACTTACAAACGAATGAAAGTTACGTTTTTTAAATTGATCATACATGTTTGTCTATCGACATAGATAAGTAATGCATTTAACAATTAATTGTTTGCTTATAGTTATCCCTTTCAGGCATTTTGCTGTAATGAGTATGTATTTCATATTGTTCCATGTTAAAATCTACGTTAATAATATATATTATTGTACCTCATCTATGATAAATAAATATTGATAGTTGAAATATGTTTACACTTTTTCATAATTTGAGA